TAAAAAAATTTGATGCAAGGAGCCTATTAAAGTATTTACTGACGAATGCTCCTGTCTTGACATTCTTTGACCCTTCCTTGCCAATGGAAATTGAAACTGACGCCTCAAAAAATGGCATTGACTCTTGTTTATTGCAAAATGGCCACCCAGTAGCCTTCGCTTCGAGATGTCTAACAAAAAGTGAAGCAAATTATGCTCAGATTGAGAAGGAACTTTTGGCAATCTTGTTCAGCTGTCAAAAGTTTCATTATTATGTGTATGGTGGACCACTAGAGTCAATTTTAAGAAAAAGCCTACAGTCTGTATTTCCAATGCTGCAATGAATGATCCTTAAATTACTTAATTACGACCTAAAAGTGATATATAAGCCAGGAAAGTATTTATTTATTGCAGATACACTGTCTCGTGCTTTTTTAACTAAATCTGGGGACTCTACTCAATTAAATTTAGAATATAATGTTCATGAACTCTCAAATTATTTGCCCATCTCTAATGAAAAAAAAAAGGAATTGTTAGGGAATTCAACAAAAAATGACCCTCAATTACAGTGTGAATTATTTTGTCAAAACTCAGTGGCCTTCTAGCAAAACACTAATCCCAACTTTGGCAAGTCATTTTTATAAACTCAAGTATGCTTTATCGATATTTGATGAACTACTATTGTTTAACACTAAGCTAGTTGTTCCAAAAGATCTTAGAGAAGAAATGCTCACAAGACTCCACGAGGGCCATTTAGGGATTGAAAAGGTAAAGGCGCGGGCTAGGCAAATATTTTATTGGCCACTTATGTCACAGGACATTGAAAATTACATTAAGAAGTGTAAAATTTGTGAAAAGTTTACCATGAAGAATTCAAAACAAGCGCTTTTATGATATTCGATTCCAGAACGTCCTTGGGAAAGAATGGGTGCAGATATTTTCTCATACGGCGATAGGTCTTATCTTGTAGTTATGGATGCATATTCAAACTGGTTGGAGTTGACTCCATTAAAAAACAAGTCAGCTAATGAAGTGATAAAAATATTAAAATTAATTTTTTATAGATTTGGATGTCCAGACAAGCAAGTTTGTGATAACGTCCCCTTTGGGAGTTTCACTTTTAAGGAATTTTCAAATCAGTGGAATTTCGATATGGTGCTTAGAAGCCCGAACTACCCCAGATCTAACGGTCTGGCGGAAAAAGCTGTAGGCATTGCAAAAAAGCTACTCAAAAAATCTTTGGAAGAGGGCACGGATATGTTTGAAGCCCTAATTCAATATCGAAATTCACCTATTAAGTTTTTAAACTACTCCCCCTCTCAGTTACTCATGAGTCGAATGTGCAAGACAAAGTTGCCAGTACAGCAGACTTATTGAAGCCTATATTATGTGAAAATGTAAAAGAACGGCTCGAGCTGAGGCAAGGCCGGAATAAGAATTTCTTCAATAGGACTGCAACTCATTTGAAACCGTTAGAACCTGACCAAAATGTTTCGGTTTTTAACCAAGTAAAGAATCATTGGGAGCCAGGTAAGATATCGGATTTTGCCGAAGGTCCAAGATCTTACAGGGTTTTAGATTCTCATGGAACTGTAATGAGGAGAAATCGTTTTGGTCTGAAGGACTCTCATATTGATCATAGACTGAACCCGGATTGTGACATTGACTTTAGGCACGATTGTGGAAATGCTAATACTGTGCGTCGTTCTCCTGCAAAGTCTGATTGTAATTTCTCAGAGCCTACTTAGCTCCCAACTGAGATTCACTCTGATAGTGAAGCCACTTTTGTTCAACCCTCTTCGCCTTCTTTGGATCTCCATCAGAAGTCCAAATCTGGTCGCACAATAAAAACGCCCGACAGATTGAATCTATAGTTAATGATTTATTATTACTGATTTTGTGTGTAATTTTTAAGTCTTAGAAGAATATGTTTATTTTTAAGAGAAGAGATGTATCATAAATAGTCACGTTGGTGGAATGCAACACAGGGCGTTGGCTCGGGGGCATACCATCGGTGGGCTGTCACCTGCCACTTGGCAATTGTTTTGTTATTGTTTTGGATATACAGTTTTGATTTTGGGATGCTGATTTGAATAAATACTTGTTTTGAAGACACATTCATTGTTTAAATAATACAGAATCAACACCTGGAAAACACCACCAGAAAAGCGGTAACATCACTCATGATACTTATACGCTTGCATGGAAAATTATGGGGCTTGAGACCGGACATGCTGTATTTGACATACAACATGATGGTAAAACCTATCTTGACATACGCCTCCCTGGTGTGGCGGCCCAAGACACTGCAGAGAAGTGCCATAACGGCGTCAATTCGATCCACACCAACAGCAGCGATGAAAACCCTCCAAGACCTCTACACATAGTGATACAGGGGGAGGCAAGAATGGCCCACATAACAGTGAAAGAACATTCATATTCTCAGAATATTCCCTCAAAGTGCTTTTTGGAATGTTCTTTTAGGAATGTTTAATGAATATTCTTAGATTGTTTCGATTGAAATATTCATTTTTGGACGTTCTATTTATGTACTAGGAATGTTGCTTCTATGCACCTACCTGAAATATTGTGCTAAGAACCTACTTTATATAACATTATCTGAATATTGTCACACGAACATTATTATAATGTACCCTAAAAAATGTTCTTTCGGCTAATATCTCTATCAAGTATCAAGAATATATCTACCAAGTTGTGCTGAGAAGTTTATGTAGGTAGGTACCCATGCTAAGAATATTTCGATATTGTTCATCTAATTATCTAAAGTACCTACTCAAAAATCTTAATTGAACAATTAAACAATAATGCTCTATCTAGAACCTACTAAAAATATTATAGGTATATTCTTTTTCTTTTGCTTTGTAGGACTTCCAAGAGAGGGAGCCACGCGCTATTAATGATCTACATCTTGCCTCGCGTTTGAATCACCTTGGAACCTGTTTCTCTCAGTTGGCGTGCTTACCGCGACGAGAGCATAATAAGCTCGAAACCGGAGCTTTCGTTAAACACTTGTGTTTTCCAGAGAAATTTTCCAACGAATCTTTCACTGCCTTTAATATAGAAGGACTGCAAGTAGCATTATTTGGTTGGATGTGAAAATTAACATTCCAATTATGTCCCTAGAATCAAACAAGAATGTTATGTCTAGGATGCATATTGAGAATGATATATGTGGATATATTCTAAGAATATTTCAAGCATATTGGTATATTATTCTTTTGAGAACATAATGATAATGTCATAGTAACATTCTTTCTGTGAGAATATAAATTTCAAGCATATTTTTAGAATCAAACAGGAATATTCTTTTCAGAATGTACTGAGAATCTCATAGGTATATTCTAGGAATATCCTAATAGATTTCCCAGGAAGTTCTTGGGTATTGCAAACAGTATTTCTACAATCTTTTCTCAGAACATTCTCAGGATATTCGCAATGGTTTTGGCGAACATTCTAGGCACATTCCTCGAAAAAAAGAACATTCTCAGTACATTCTAAGGATGAAATTTTGTTATGTGGGGAAAGCGTACAGACTGCAGCCGACAACCGCCTTCAACAAAAGGACGGGACACATGGCAATCGTAGAACTCGGGGGGAAGAGATTTTCAACATGAGGATCGACTACATGTCAAAACGATACTGCCTGAACAGACCATTCGAGGTAAGATTCCCAAGCAGAACTGAATGGGAACATGGCATACCGGAGAACAAAAAACAAGACCAGACCTGGTACACAGACGGGTCGAAGACCGAGTCTGGTACCGGAGCAGGGGTATACTCCGCCAACTATAGCGATCACTATGCACTGGGAGTGTCAGTCATGCCTCTGTTTTTCAAGCAGAGGTATACGCTATACTCCAATGCGCAGCGGAGAACAACAGGAGAGCCACAGCCAACAGACAGATCCTTATAATGTCTGATAGTCAAGCGGCACTGAAGACCCTCTCGAGCCAGACAGTGTCATCAAGACTAGTATGGGAACTCAGGGCCCTGGCGGACTAGAATAAGGTCAAACTTATCTGGGTGCCAGAACACAGAGAAATCAAAGGTAATGAAAAAGCTGATTAGCTCGCAAAGAGAAAGTCAGAGACAAAACTTATCGGGCCAGAACCGGCTCTAGGGATATCAAAAAGCATGACCCAGAAGCCACATCAAAGGCTGGATTCGTAAAGAACATCGGCGACACTGGACAACTTCCAGGCAGAATCATGGTAGGAAATTCATCGACCAACCGTGCAGCAGAAGGACCGCAGAACTGTTACAAATGAGCAGGAGCCGACTGAGAACCATAACGGGACTCTTGACTGGCCACACACTAGTAAAGGTCCACCTGAACAGGATGAACTTGTACAATAGAGACCTTAATTGCAGACTCTGCAATAAGGAACCCGAGACAGCCAGACACATTCTGCGAGGCACTGGATCGTAGAAGATACAGCATTTTCGGGCAACCAAACGTAGACCCGGAAACAATAATGAAACATCACCCAGTAAAAGACCTCGTACAAGGCACAAAAATACTGGAGTGGTTGGAATAAACCACACATCAGGCTAAGTACAATAAGCTTTCTCAGGCTTCAGTGCTGCATGGAGACAATAAGTCCGACAGGCATGGAACAAGGAAAAAAAAAGCTTATAGTTTTTAAAGATAAACCTTTTTCTGGCCATACTTTTTTGACTCACCCTGTACATTCACTTACTTAAAATAAGCTTCATTAATTTTTAGTTACAACTTCTTCATTTGACGCTTAATTCTACTCCTCGAAAGTGTACGGTCTGCTACTACTGGGTATGTTAGAATTAATCACGATTACGATTTGTCTACATGATACATCCTATCCTTCAACAATGTTGTGCCCAAATCTATTTTACAACAGTGTCAATTGTTATTATTATTATTAGGCTGAAACCATTGTTTCAAAGATTCTAAAAATCAACTTTTGGCTATAAGACATTCTAAATTTAAAAGTAATAAAATTATATGAATTTGAATATTATACCTTGCCCCCATAAGGGCTGCCAAACTGCCAGCTTTTAAAGCTCCGGTTACTAAAAAATAAATATTTTCAATTGTTATGAACAATTTATTTATTTGAAAAAAGTACCACTGTTAATTATTCTCTTATATCTTGGCTTTCTATTGTCCTTGGAATAAGCGTGAACTGTTAAATCGTTCCAAGCCAAAGTAACTCCTTCCTCATGAGGAGACCATTTTGAGTAGCTCCTAGATTTTTTAGTTAATGATCCACTAGCTTCAAAATTTTGGGAATCATCCTAAGAAGGTTTCCAATAAGATATGATATAATTATTATACTTGGATAATATTCACCAATCGATCATTATTTTTTGACAAATTTCCAGATGGTTGCAGAAGCAATAGTTGAGTATCCTTTGTGGATGTTGAGGCTGAACTTTGTCTTTTGAACATTTGTACCATTAACTTTGTACTATATTAGAAACTGACACAGAAAACTTTAATAAACAAAACATGCAGAACAAGAAAGTAGTATCAATGAGACCTTAGAAAGTCTTGACTATTGAATTAACACACGAGCATTAGACTCCTCAGGTTGCGTGTATGTAAAATGATATTTTTCATCAGTTTACATTACTCAGAGACGTAGATTTTTGTCTACTTACTATATAAATATTGTTTTAAAGATAGAGAGCCTGCGAAGGTGTAATCTAATTAGGCCATCAGTTATAAATGCGCACTCTGGGAAACATTTTTATCGGTTAGCATCATGAATTTCTTTCCGAAAACGGCGCGCCACTGATTTAGATCCAAGTTTTAGTGAAATAACATTGTGTCGGATATCCTATATATACAGGGTGATGATAAGCTGTGAAATAATCGACATATTGTTGTTTTTTTTTTAACCCTTTTGATATAAGATACATACCATTGATTTCATACGTGATGAGCTAAATTAAGTTTGGGCAATCTCTCCTTGTTCGATGTATAATAAAATTTCGAATTCTAAAAAAAAAAAATCCAAGTACTTTAATCTGCCCATTTTTGAAATACAGGGACTCGCAAACCATTTGAAAAGTCCATTCCAGAAAAACGTGAATATTGTATTTTATTCATGCGAATCCCAATAGGGAACAGCAATAAATCCGAAAAAAAAAGGTTTTATCATGTTGGTCAGATGACAGACAAGCCTATGAGTGGACGTCCAGTAATTTCCGAGAGTAACAAAATTGAAATTCTCATTTTGATGCGAAAAACCCAATTCCAACAAATTTTTGAATAATTTTTGAGGAATGCCTATAATGTCAGGGATAAAAGAAGTCCAAGACCTCACTGACTGCGACGGATAGTTGGGTACTGCTAAGAATCGAGTTTCCTGAAATTCTTTATGGATTGTTTCTTTCCGATGAGACGATTTCTTGTATTACTCGCATGGTAAATCGCCAGAGTTTTCGGTAATTTTCCATCGAAACCCCTCCTTGGTAAGTGGTGAGGTCATCAAAATTATATATTAGGACGGGGAAAATTTGGAAAGTTGTTATTAGTTTATAATTCTTTGAAGAAAATGTAATATAACAGGAATGATCACTAAGTTACTATTCTGCAAACGCGAGTGAATACCTTATTGACAAAATATTTCCTCATCGTTGTATAGGTCAAATTAATATAATGACCTAAGGCGAAATTGCCTCGAGAGTCCGGCCGGATTCTAGGAAATTCATTGTTTACGTCTAGGAGCACGACTTTCCTAGGAAATCTCTTATATTTGTTAAACATGTTTTTCTGGATAGGTCCAGAGTACGATTTAAATTCAGCCAGAAGCATCCTGGTAAACTACAAGGCACTAGCTTACAGAAGACATACCATTTTCGGCTAACCTAACGTAGTCCCGGAAACAATAATGAAACATCACCCAATAAAATACCTGAGTGGTTGGAATAAAGCAAACAGCCCAAGCACAATGAGCCTTGTCAGGCTGCAGTGCTACATTACCCGAGTCAAGATAGCATTTGACCTAGACAAAAATAATGTAAAGCTGATTTTTGTCAAAGATCATGCCTGAGGGCTAAATTGCAACATACTAAAAGTCCTGGTCAATCCTCCTTCCGCACCCCCTTTTTTTCGCCCCTAACCCCCACCCTTTTGATATTTTGGTGATTTTCTCGAAAAATATCCACTTTAACGAAAAATATTAATAGAGCATTTTTGAAGCTGACAATATTTCCGTTGCAATAACGTATTGGGAGCCCATATAGTGCCACGTGGTACGCACCAGTGACGTATCAAGTGGAGGGTTACTTTTGAAAAAAAAATACTTTTTTCTACGAGCGTGGGCAAAATAGGTACTTTGCACACGCAGTTGGGAGCCCAAAATTCACTTTTGCTTACTAGTGCTGACAACATTCAATTTGGAAAAATTACCAGTAAAAATAGTCATATACCCTTAAAGGTCTGTTTCCACAGAAATCACAAACCAGTTAGAGCGTTTTTGATTGGTTCAAATCGCCAACAACCAGTTTCCTGACTATTTTCAACCATTGAAATTCGCTCTGACTGGTACCTATTACTATCTATATGATTTATGTGGAAACAGACCTTAAATGATTGTATGAAATACATGAGCCCAAAGGTCGCCCCAAAAATCTTTCAGTGTCGTTTACAATAATCAAATGAATAATTAGGTTTTGTTAGTTGCTTCTGAGTATTCTGTTTGGAATATTTTGTTTTTTTCTAAATTATTGTCTCATTTTTTATTTTTATAAATCTTGTCGCTCTTAGAAAAAATACTGTTCCTGACTCTTGCGCAAATTATCTTGTTCGCACTCGACTGCTGCCCGAACTCCGCTCCGCGTCGTTCGGTCAACTGCAGCCGGCCGGCGTGCGAACAAGACTTACTTTGCGCACTTGTTTATCGCAATTACTTCAGTCAAAAAATAAAATTAGAAGTTTATCCGAGACTTCTCAGCTATCAATTTGCCGATTAATGGGTGCGCTTAGCGCCCCGCGTGACGTTCAGTTGAGGTAAAGTTCGTTTCACGAGGGTTCATACTTTTGACATCGAACTTGAAAAAAAGGGTTGTCGTAGATTAATTCACATGACACATTCAGTTTTTTGACAAATTAAAATGTTAAAATCAATGACTTCTGGTTTAAGAACCGACGAACGTTTTTGACGTCATTGATTTGTTTCAGTCAATTTCTATTTGTTAAAAAAGGAAGGCAAATTATGTCAAAAGTATGAACCTTCGTGAAACAAAGTTTAGGTACCTATCTTTTTTTTACCTTGACTGCGCTTGTGCAACAGAATCCAATGGGAAGCGAGTTTGTCACGTGTTTACGTCATATTTACATTCAAGGTTGGGACTCTGCAACGAATAGAGATATTTTCTCTATTTCGTTTGACGTCGCCTCTCTATACACTGTAACGAATCAAAATAAAAAGACGCTGCGTTTTCACTTTGATGGTTTATTTTAGAATGTCTTACAAATCAAAAATATGATGTTACGAGCCCAATAACAGTTTTGGAGGGTCGAGGACGGTACCTACCTGCCTTGACCCTTTTCTTCATGTTCTATTGTGGCAAGCTTACAAAATATGAAAAAAGATCCCATTTTAGCACATCTTGGTCAGGTAAATAGATAAGTATTATTATAATATAGGTCTGATATAATGGGCTGCGTCACAACACATACTGATTTCGAATAGAGAGAAGAAAACAGAAAGTGCCATAGCGATAGGGATAACGATCCCTATCCGTTACAGAGTCCGAGCCCAGGGGCGAGTTCAGAAGTAATCGTTCCTTCTTTCTTTGTGACGTGTAATTCGACAAAAAGCGAACTAATACTTTAGTTTATCACTTCTGAACTCACCGCAGTGGTGTTTGAGGTTATGTACTTGACATATTCCTCTGCACTTTCATCGTGCGATGTTGCCGGATGGAACAGTTATTAAAATAAAAGTACAAGCGATGTTAAAGCTCTTCTCTTGTTCGACATTTTTACATGGAGAAATGTCACTTTAAGGAATACTTATTGCTAAGGCTTCCTTAAAATGGTCGGTGCAAACGGCCATTAAGGCGTTGTAAAACACTTGACACCACAGAACCTTGACACTATATCATTTTTTTAATGGGTATAATCTTAGATTTTTATTGTCTACATCAATTCTGCAACAATACAATCTGGCTACACTACAACCCACTAGTTGCGCGCGCATGTCGTGTTTTACTTCTTCCTAACTTGTATTCATATTAAAAGGATTTTTTAGCGACTTACCGTTTGTAACCTTGTTATAAACGGTAACTGGAAATATCATGAAAGTACTTTAAGTTACCGTATATAACACGGTTACAAACGGTTAGTCGCTAAAAAATCCTTTAGGTTTTTCCTATATTTTTCTATATTGTTAAATTGAATATGGAAAAAGGTGGGCCAAAGTGTAGTACATTATGTTTCCTTTGCAATGGCGAAACATGCAATAATATTGTGGAAACCGTTACAGAGGATTTTTCTCTTCAGAAAGACGTTTAAAAATGTTGTTTTGAAACTAAATAAAAAATGAATTAAACAATATTTTTCGTTCTAGGAGGTCGTTCTATACATCAATGGATTTGCAATTTTATCACCTACAAAAAAATTGGTAACGATATTTTTCGCCAAACTTATAGTTTTTGGTTAAAATCAGTAAATTCGTGTCATTCAAGAACTTTCAATTAATCTCGGGGCAAAATTTCTTTTGATACGCCACTGGCGAGTACCACGTTGACAATATATGGGCTCGCAGTACGTCGTTGCATGGGATATTTTGTCCGCTTCAAAAATGCTCTCTTGACATTTTTCCTTAAAGTGGATAGTTTTCGAGAAAATCACCACAATATTAAAAAGGGGGATTTGGGGGGCGAAAAAAGGGGGATGCGGAAGGAGGATTCTCCAGGACTTTTAGTAGATTAATATTCAGCCCTAAATTATGATATATACCAAAAATTAGTTTTATATTATTTTTGTCTAGCTTTACCCAAAATTTGAACTATCTTGTCTCGGGTACATCGGGAACATTAAGTCGGACAGGCCTGAAAGACGAAAGAGAGACAGAAAAAAACAATTAGGAACGCAAAACAGGCCTTCTGAAATCCAAAATGAGTTTAATATGGACTCAATTCACCCATTAGAAACTAAGTTACCTTAACAAGGTCGAAAAATCCGAATTATCCTTCAAAACATTTCCCAGCTCATGCTGATCCTCCTACATTTTGGCAAGGGCAACACGAACCCTTTGAGGAATACTGGGTTGTGAATTTTTACTATACAGAAATTATATATTGTGATTGTGTAATTTCATAAAATAGATTCACACGTATCAATTATGATGAAAATAGTATTGTTGTGTATTTGTCTTCTAAAACCGAATAAATTGTTTAATGTTGAACTACAAAAATAAATACCGTAGTGTCGGTATACTTTGCCATCCGAGGTGACTTTGCCAGAGTTGACTTTTTTTTTTTTTAACAATATTTTTTGTAACTCCAATGGCAGAAACCTAGCGAAAGTTGTAGGAACTATTAAAGAAAACGTGGTTAGCTTGTTGCAAATAGTCAGACTTACGATTGCTGCGCTATGGTGGTAATGAACACGTGCTGCATATAAGCTAAGAATTTTACGATTTTTAATTCTTAGAATAGTAAGACTTGTGACACCTATATGAATACGATTAACCCAAAATAAATCCTTTTGCCAAAATATACACTTCAATGGCTAATGATTGTGAAATTTTGAAGTATTAAAAAATAATGGTTTCTGAGATTTTAATTTATTTAAAAAAAAGTGTGACCTTGCAAGCCACTCGTAGGTGTCTTTGCCTTATATATTTCTTACGGTTTTTGGTTTTTTAGATCAAAATATGGGTCGAATCTACAAAAAAAAAATAGGCAGCCGGCACTACAAAAACTATAATGAAGATACTATAAAAAAAGCAGTGCGAAATATTTTAAGCAATGACTTAAGTGATTTTGGTATTTTGATATTAAATCGTATTTTTTTTCCAACAATGAAAAAAAAATATAATACCTTTTTTAAAATCATATTTGAAGGCAAACTAACCCATATAATAGTCTTACATTTAGATTTAGGTGGTTTTAAACGCGTTGGCAAAGTGTCACCAATTTGCAGGAGACTTTGCCAGATTTTTAACAAAAAAAAATAAATAGAAGCAGTACTTTCTAATTATTTGTGTTTACAGGCATCTATAGCCAGAACATGGAATTTATACATAGTCTGTAGCCATACAAATTGCTATATCGGTTAAAAAAATATCAGAGAAAAAGTCTGAAAACCGTGGCAAAGTATACCGACACTACGGTACTTAGACCTGCGACCTGCGACCGCACGATGGCACCCAGCAGAAATTTTATAATAGACAACGGTCAGCGGGGTATTTTCAATAAATATTTATTAATTAAAGACAAATAATATATTTGTTTGTGGGTTGTTTCATTGAAATTCTCTAAGTTCGTTCTAACAGCAAACAAAAATATTCCTAGAATGAATAATTTTCATTTATTTATGGCCAAATGGCCAGAAGGGCGCCTGTGGTTTTATAAATTCTCGTATCTTAGATATTTGATATCATTCCAGCTGCTATTGACTGTACTGAACATAAATCTACATATCACATTTTACTATATTCATTTTTCAACCTCGTTTTTTTTTGTATGTCAAAAAGGGGATTTAATAAAAATCAATTTGATAAATACTCAAAAACTTTTATTAATTAAAATCTATTCTTCATCGATATAAGTTTTCCATAGCAATGCGAGAAAAGCTGCAAATCTAAAGGCCACAATAAGTCCAATAAGCGAAATGATATCGATCATTAAATGTTCCTGAAAAACAAAATCAAAATAACAGATTTTTTTTTGTAAAAAGAACTAGGTACCTACCTCTTTAAAATTATAAATTTCCAAAACCACGTGACCATTTCTTAGGCAAGTTGAATTCCCTCGTGGGCATTGAATGTTGGTTACGTTCTCCCATTGGTTGATCATCAAGGCTTCGTTTCCGTATTTGAACCAGGATAAGTATGCCAACCATTCAAAATATACGGGAATCGACCTATATTAGGAAGAAAATTAAACCATTATAAATATTAGTACATATTTTGAATAAAAGCATTATAAATCTTAAACGCTGACAATACCGACTGGGTATTTATAGTGGATATTTTTATAGGTTTTATATGGAGCAATTTATTGAGCTAGCTGGCTTTCATGAGTGTGCCATTTGGAGGACCCTGGACTGGTAATTTCAGATTAAATTCCTCCAGATAAACTACGAATGCCCTAATTACAATATTTTTGACATATTAATCCTGTTGTTTGAATGTATACCTACTGAATATTTAAAAAGAAACCCCCAAACAGTAAAAATGGAATTAACATGGGCGGGCCGATAGATAATGCCATCGATATGGTCGAGGAAACACACGAAATCAAATATCCTGAAACATATAAGTATTGGTAAACAAATTTTAGTTAATGTGTTCTGTATTTATACGGTTTTCATTTTAATCAATAATATCTTACCAAAACTGGTCGCCGCATTTGCTACCAAGACAATAATCCCACAAGCAACAAAAAATCTAGGCATTTCGGTATTTAAACCAATCAAATAATAACAAATAGACAAAAACAATAACGGCAAAAACACAAATATTGGTATGTCCGCTATAGTTTTCCCTAGGAAATATACATCGGTCCTGTACATTCCGTTTTTGTGCTCCCTGAGGAAAATTGGGAGTTCTGATGAAAATACCTGAAATTACTGTGTTTATTAATTTATTTCATAGGTATAAGGTCTGCTTACATTTATTACGGCAAACACATTTTGAAAAGTCATGTTGGTCAGAAATATGAAAATTGCTCCGTTGATGTTCATAACGCCATCCTGATCGATTACTTGGCCGTAATAGATAGCACCTAAGATGAGGGAGACCATCTGAACAAGAAAAATATCTGCATTATATTTCAACCACATATCAAAATCGTACATTAAAAGTTCGATCGAAAATGTGCTCCCTATGTCATTTAGCAACGTGGTTCATGCACGATGCACCTGTGGTAATAATTAAAAAGTTATAACTTTGAAAAAATCGCCATTTTGAAACAAAATATGATTATGGTTATACTCATTAGTTGTCTTCAATTATTCAAACCGAAAAAGACATAAGTAGTCCTTATTTTTGTTTTAGTTATTTGTTAATTTCTATCCTAAAAAATGGACTTTGTTTCCAAGTATGAAGTATGTTCATATTTTTGAGTTTGTCACTTTTACCCTAAACCTAAAATACAACTCGTAGGATTAAGATTTACTTTTCATTCGAAACCCTAGTCAATAAATTTTTTTGGAAACTATGCACCTTCAAAAATTGATAGTAATAAGAGGCCTCAGAAGTTAATTTTTGTTGAATTTTTAATTAATGGCTTCTTCGAAACGAAGGACTCCTTAAAACTATTAAAGGATTTGAGATTCACTGTTCTAATTAGCCTCGGAGTTTTCACAGCACATCCCTAAAACTACACCACCAGAGCGTTTTCACGTCACGTTTCTGTGCCTGAAACTTTTTTTCTTCTCGCCAACTGATGTTGACGAACTAAGGTCCACATTTAGGGGGATGGGTAACAAAAAATCCTCAGGTTTGGACAAAATACCTCTAAATGTTATTCGGGCCCTTCCTGATCGGGCTTTGGCTTCGTTGGCCCATGCAGTGAACAACTCTTTCATATCAGGCACATTTTCTCCATGTCTAAGGAAGGCTATTATAGTGCCGATTTTAAAAGGGGGAGATTTGAATGAAGCCTCTAGTTTTCGCCCGATATCATTGCTTCCTACCTTGGCAAAGATTGTGGAGAAGCTGGTTAAGAGGAGAATACTTTCATTCCTGAATAAACATGATCTTCTGGACCCCCATCAAATTGGGTTTCTAGAATCCAAGAACACAGATCTTTGGTTTTCTTCGACGGCTGTACCTTGAACTCAACACGGGGGATGGGGCAGCCTCAGTGTTCTGTGGTTTGTCGAAGGATTTCTACTGTGTTGATCATCCTACCCTCTTGAGCAAGCTTGAGATTTATGGTTTTCGAGGTATTGCCTTGAAATGGTTCCATTCCTATTTATCGGGTCGGGTGCAAAGGGTAATTTTCAACAACTCTAGTTCAACAGAACAAGCCATCTCCACGGGTGTGCCTCAGAGCTCAGTTTTCGGTCCCCTGCTTTTTTTGATTTACATCAATGACTTGCCTCGCTTGCCTATCAGCGGAAAATTCACCATCTTTGCCGATGACACCACCATCCTTTGGCACGACAGGGGCCCAAATAGGTTGCAGCAAGTGATTGAGAGAGATCTTTGGTGTGTCGCGGAAGGGTGCAGTTCTAATAATCTTTCTCTTAATGTTACCAAGACTAACATCTTAAACTATTAATGCGACCCGAGTGACGTCGCTCTGAATGACGGAAGGATGTCCCGTTCAAGCACTGTAAGGTTTTTGGGACGCACGTAGATAGCCCCTTAGATTCGAAAACCATGTGACGCACTTATGTGGAAAAATTTCTTCTGGCTGCTACGCCCTCAGAGTAATTTCTTGCAACCTGGGACTTTTAGTGTCTCGTCAAACATATTTTTCCTTGATTGAATCACACTTTCGATATGGGATCTCATTCTGGGGATGCTGTTCGGCGAGCCTGTTCCATACTGTATTTGTGCTTCGGTCCATGTGCTCTGCCAGAGTGAGAGACACTTGTCGTCCTTTGTTTGTGCGCCACTCGGTTCTAATATTGTACTGCATTTTCATTATGGAAACGGTATGCCTTGTGCGCAAAAAGTTTGGAGAAGAGCTGTTCCTGCCTCAGACTTACAGTACTCGTCAGACTTTCATGTTGCCTTTGCCGATTCCTAAGTCCAATCAGGGGAAAAAGTCCATTATTTCCAATGGCAAAAAAATGTTCAATCATCTTCCTTTGTGTTTGAGACGGCAGCGATGTGCGAGGAGATTTACAAGGTCGGTTAAGAGGCTATTGCTAGCAAAGGCATATTACACCTTGGACGAATTTTTTACCGATCTCTTAGGTTAAGTTTTATTGTAAGGCTTTGTACACAATATTCGTGTTAGATGCGAATAAAGCTATTTTTGACTTTGACTAATTATCCAACATTATGTGTGTTTTTTTTGCATAAGTATTTGCTATCAGTATTTATAGCCTTTGCCTACCTGGTAATTTTTATCTCTGACTTGGTCAATCCTGGTACAACGTTGTCAAAATGTTTTCAAAAACGACTGAAAATTGACTGATTCTATAGTTTTGATTATAAAATAATTGAAAATGGTCAATACTACTTCCAAGGATAAAAAGGCGGCCTGGCATGCATGATGCCTGACAGTCACCTGAAGGATTCAGCATGCAATACTTGCTTGTTCCAACAGGCATGATATGGCGTTTTGAAAAAACCACAATAATTTAATTTTATTGTCAATTTCGGATCTACAGCCCCCTCAAATTCGCCCCTAATAATAGCATTTTTTTTATTTCTCAGAACCCTGTTGTACAAGAATCACTCTGTTCGGTATACAGGGGTTAAATTTATGGCATAAAGAATTAGAAAGTGCTACCTAAGCTTTTAGGAGGAGGACCACCTTAAGACACTTTTTCGTGGTTCTTCCTGTCTCTGATGCCTTTGGCAGCGTATTTCAATTTTTCGAAAAATATTATTTAGTTAGAAGGCCCATCCGATCAAGAAATCTTTCTGTCTAGATCGAATGCATATCGAGATTCGTATATTGAAAAATTCAAATACGCAACTAAAGTTTTGGGGCTCCAAAGACAAGCGGGTCCATGAAAAAGTGTCTTTAGCAGGTAGCACTATATCTACCAATTCATGGGACACAGCAAAAGAGATCATAACCTATGAAAGAATAGAATGGGCAATAAACTCTTTTGAACCATTTAAATCGCCAGGGCCCGATGGCATTATATACTCAGATGATGTAGTAACCGACTATACGGTTAGGGAAAATTTAACAGACAACTTCTGCGCAAATGCAAAGAGTCCTTAAGATCGTGGAGGACCGGGTTGAAAGAGAAAGCTGAGTGTCAACCCTGAGAAAACAACAATGGTCCTTTTTACGAAAAGGAGAAAACTAAACGAACTAGTCCCTCCCACTTTTTCCGGAAAGCAAATACAATTTGTCCGGGAAATACCTAAGAATTATCCTGGGTGCAAAACTAACCTGGAACGCGTATATTGAATACGTCACCAACAAAGGTAAAATAGCGCTAATGGCCACCAAAGAAGCAGTGCGAAAAACATAGGGATTTGTACCCAACATATTATATCGGATCTATACACCTGCCGCTACTTGATATCATTATTAAAGCTGAGGGAAGAATGGGGCTTACAGACTCAATGAACCTTTTTCATTTTAACTGTGCTGCGCGCGTCGCTTGTGGGTGACAGATAATAAAATTGTCAATTGAATGAACGCGGTCTGAGCCTGACGTTTTTTAAACTAACCTCAATAATCAATCATTATTGTTGAAAATTATTACAAAAACAATGGTTCAAAGGTGTTGTATGAGATCTTGTCAGAGTGAGGCGAAAAAGAAGTCAAACCATTTTTTTCACAAGTTCCCAAGCAATCAAATTGAAAGAAAACAATGGTTACGTGCTCCCAACCTGCAGAAATCTTAATAAACTATCCTTGTTGTTAATTGCAAAACAGAAAACTCATAAGTCCAGGATCGGGAAAAAAAAGTCGGGGAAAAAAAAAGTGGGAATAAAAAATTGGGAAAATAGAAAATTTACAAGCGAGCGTTTTAATAGCCTTGCGCCTTGTGTGTTATGGTGGGAAGCCGCCATTGACCGTCATCTTGGAAGTATGAATTAAAAAAATTAGTTCCGCCATTTATTTATTTTTTTTCAAGTATATCACAAAACCAATCAAATGAAGTGTCAGAAATGTCCAAAAAAATGCTAGAAAGGAACCATGCTTCACGTATTTCAAGCCGCCACCACTTTGCTGGCTTCTATCCGAATTTTAACCTAGCACAAAAGAAAACTCGGTCGAAATGCTAATGTAAATGGTTCAGGTTCGTTTGGTTCACTTTTATAATCCAGTGACAAATTTGTTGTGCAACACTATGTTTGAAAAAATGTTCGGCGGGAACATGCGTTTGAAGTATCAGCGCTCGCGGAAGCTGGATTGTGTATACAAAATGGCAAGTTGAAAAGCTTATGTTATGTTCACTTACAGAATTATCATCCAGATAACAATGGATAATAACAAATTCTAGTTGCACCAGCCCTTTACCTTCTCCAAATCTGAGTCCATATCAACGTTCAAAGGAGTAAACTTTACCGAAACTGGGAGAAAATCGTTGGCAGAAATGAGAAATAGAAGAGTTACCAGTACAGGGCTCTCTGGTATCCGGAATGGTATCCCAACATTGATGCTCATCATCACACTGTAGCTTCCACATGAGAATGTCGTGATTCACACAATAAAACCGTTTGAACAAGTCACAAAACACCGTATCTGCTAGCTACCTCTCCACCGTTCAACTGGTTATAGAGAACCTCATGAAAATTAACAATAGCATCTGTTGATGCAATGATTTCGCGTTAACTTTTTTGTGGGTCAAATTTGACCCTGTATAATAGAGGCATGCATTTTGCGTTCCATATATCGCTGAAGGCATAGAAGTGCATCGCGCGCCTCCTAGGAATACCTAGCGAAAAAGGTAGAACGCTACGTCAGTACCATCCGATGCGATAGATTTGGTCTGGTGCGAACCCACTCCACTCGGCGGTTTCTTTCGCAAAAGATTTTCGCGACCGTTGAGTTTTTCCTCCAATTTTCGCCGTTTAACAATTTATCATGCGTGTTTAAGCCTTCAAGGGGCGCCCTAAAGTTACAAGAATACAGAAGCCAAATTGGGTAAGCGACAAACAACCTTTTTGCATGACCTCACTTCATTTCTAATTTTTTCGTGTAATAAGGACTTAATATTCGCTATACAGTCCACTAATAATTCAACCGTATTAATTGCATCCTCATCGTCATTAAAGCCATTCCCTTCTTGAATTCTGAACTGGTACGCTCAGAAGACCATGACTTCCCAGAAAGATTATGTCAAACAAGCTGGACGTTAATGTTAGACTAGCATCATGAGATTTAGCTGCGATGTGGATAGCCTCGTTGTTTCTTCTGGCTAGGTCTGTTGCTAGGAGAGTTTATTTTGCACTTGCGGAGTCACGTTGGCGGTATGCAGTGGCGTATCCAGGGGGGGGGGCAATTGCCCCCCCCCCCCCCCCCGAGCAACAATGTTTCATTTCTTAAAAATATCTCAAATAACAAAAAATAGTATCATTTACTTGCGTGCGCAAAGTTATTACTTTGCACACTCATTTGCGTGCGTCATTTTGTTTCTGGATAAACTAATATTCGAAAAGAAGGGCCTGGTGGTATTTTTGTTCCAAGAGAGGCATTCAGGTAATGTTTAGCTTTTTTAATTTGACACTTTCCATATGAGGAGCGAAGCGCGAAGGGAGGAGAAATCCAGCAAAAATAGGTGTGAGGTCAGGTGACCATTGGCGTGGGTAGCCACGAAGTTTTATAGATAGGTATAACATTCCTTTGGAGTATCAGATCATAAAAGTTGGACAGTAAGTTATACTCCTTCATATACTTCCCAACTTAATGGTCTTGCGGAAAAAACGATGCAAGCAAAAATGGATAGGATATTTTGAGAAGATGCTGTACTTGTTGCTATGAGAAACTAATTTAAAAAATCATGGAAAAATATCATCCTGATAAGTTTAGTCTCAAACTTTGGCAGGAAAAACAAATTTTAAGTAAACCTCGCTAGCACAACCACTGTTGCAAATAAAGTCAAGCTGATCACTAAAAAAAAAACACATTGGAGTTTGGACTAAGAGAGAAAATTACCAGTTTTGAGCATCTGGAAACATTAAAGAAGATTAGGTATAGCTCCTCTGGATGCTATGCAAATCTTCAAACACTCGTAGAAAAAGTATCGTTCTTAACACTTGCGCAAAGTCTTTCCCGCACTGAAAGTTTATACGAACTCCGCTTCGCGTCGTTCGTCTAACTGCTTTTTCGTGCGGGAAAGTATCACTTTGCGCACTTGTTAGGAAAATAACTATTTTTATGTAGGTTTGTATTACACACCACGGTTTAATGACGACTGAACAAACAGAAGACTGCGATTTCGGCGGTTGTGACGTAACAAACTCCTGTATAATTTATCTTTTCAAGGAGTTTTCTCGGAAACTATTTTGAATATAGGACTGCGGTTTTCACGAGAGATCTTAGATTTTTTTTCTTGTTTTAAGTAGCCTAAGTCGGTTTTTAGGGTCACACCCCCTTTAAAAGTCAATTTCCCAGGAAAATAAATAATTTCATTTATCAACCTCTTATCGTTTCAATGAGCAGCCTAATCATTTTTTCAGTGGCGGCTCGCAGGCTAATAATACGGAATCTAAGTACCTTATTTTTCGGTAAAAATATATTTTTTGTCCTCTAGGTATATAAGTAGAAGCGCGCGAATATGTCATCGAGATATGTAATTTTAACGGCTTTTGGGCGTGGCACCTCAAAAAAAACTGGTTTAATTTCAGGTTTAGGCCGCCCAAAATAATGTGAAAGAAAAAAAGGAAATCTTGTTAAAAAAAATTCTAATCGAGATAAGCCACTTGGCATCTCTTCCGGCATTATTTTTGTGGATACAGGAGTTAAATTTAATTCAGAGGGCCTATCAGCAGGTGTCAAACCTATTTTAGGAGAAATTTACACAGCAAGGGATACACTAAGCTAACTAGCTGCAGTGTCAGAAGAGTACTAAACCTTGCCTTGCTACCGCATATCAAATCAATGACCATATTATAAAACTCCTGTGTACGAAACAGTGATTCTCGTACCAGAGGGTTCTTAGAAATTAGGAAAATACTATTCTTAGGGGCGAATTTCAGGGGGCTGTAACTCCAAAAGGGAGGGCCATTTACCAAAAATAAAAATACAGGTCCCCTATTTTTTTCTTAAGTACCTATCTTTGAACAACTTTTGTTGCATTTATTTCCGAACACACTGTACATTCAGAAAAAAGTCTGTGAAAAAAAGGATGTCAGACATCTGAACATGGCAATATTCACTTACAATTGTTTGCAGTAGTCGTACTTTAACCAATAGTGGTTCCTTAATAATACTCAACCACGATCGCCATAATACAGCTCTAAATTGGGCGCACCAAGAAGCTTTATACGGACTTTTGTTACCATTACTTCCGTTTATCCATACATCTGCATCTTGGTGTCTTAAAAACTCTGAAGACTAAATTTTAAAATTTTATATAGGTACCTAATTTGAAACAAAAATGCGCACTTCTTACTTTCATTGTCGAATCTAAAGCCACTTGTATTCCAGGTTCTGATCTTTGAAATTTATCACAAATCATATTTACCGCATTTCTGCACGATTCTTCGTTACCAGGTACTATAGCCAAGAGTTGTATGAAATAGTCTGCAGGATTGTAGTTTTTTGGACATGGTGCTTCTAATCTAAAACAAAACTTTTGGAAATTTTATTTTAGAAGAGTAATAAAACCTTACTCTCTGAAAAATAAATCAGCCGCTTCAGGTGTACCTAAAAATGCTATTCGTCCTTCGGACATCAGAAGAAGCTTATCAAACATGGCATACAACTCAGAAGATGGTTGGTGTATGGTGCAAATCACTGTTTTTCCCGCGTGTGCCATGTTTTTCAAAATTTGCACTACGTTTAAAGCCATAAATGAATCAAGCCCTAAAATGGAATTTAAGAGTCTTAAGATTTTAATTAAATTGCGTATAAATGACAAATGTTAGAAATGTTCTACCTGATGTTGGCTCGTCGCAAAACATTAGCGACGGATTTGTTAATACTTCTGCAGCAAACGAGAGCCGTTTCAATTCGCCCCCAGAAATTCCTTTCAATCTTCCTGGAATTCCTATGCAGGTGTTTTCACATTTATTCAAAGTCATCTAAAATTTAAAATTGTTTCAATACCTAACTAAAGATTTTGAATATTTATTTAATTCACCTCTGTTATTACTTCGTTAACTCTTTTCATTCTTTGCTCATAGGAAATATGCCTGTCCATCCTTACAAGTGCCTGAAAGTATTCCCAGTTCATTCAGGCAGTTTATTAAACGTTCAAATTAAAATAGTCTACGCTTTGTCGGTAAAAAAACACATCAAGAACTCGTTTATTTTTTTTTTGTATTTTTACCTGAAATCTCAAATGTTCTTTCACAGTTAAACTACCAATAAACAATTCATTTTGTTGAACGTAAGCAGATTGACTTGTCAGTGCCTTAGAATTAACGGGTGTCCCGTTAACACATCGTGTGCCCGTCACAGTAATGCTTTTTGGCGAACGAAAAGTTAAGGCGTTAAGAAGCGTGGTTTTTCCCGCTCCGCTTGAGCCTAAAATTGCCAGCAATTCTCCTGGATAGGCTAAACCGCTAACTGGAAAATCAAGGATACAACAAATTAAAGCAAAAACTTCATTAAAGATTTGTTTTACTATTTTTGAGTAAATGCTTCTTCTGTCCCCGACTTCCAGGATTTCTTTTACAACAAAAACATAAATGAGATTCGGATTGAGGTGTATCAACGTTTGTGAATACATTTAAAGAGCTCCATGTATAATTTATTCTTTCTTCGATTGGAACGGTTCTTAGATTTGGTTGTTCGGATGTGGTACCGTAAATTGGAATTCTGAACGAACTGTCTGTAGAAACATTCTCACTCTGGAAGTAATAAATACTTGACTTATTAATGAAAATCTGACCAATTTTATTAAACTTACATTATTACTGTCCTCGTTATTAAATCCATTTCTAAAAAGTGGCGTCCTTTCATCGCTATCGGCCATTTTCTATACTTCTGCTATAAAAACTTTTACGCATAAACCCTATCCACCTATTTATTTAAAAAGTTTACTACCGTTCATTATTTATCTAAATTATAAAATGTTTATTTATGAATAATAAGTATATTATTTATTTAAAGATATGGTTTTATCTTAATAGGCGAAGGTATACAAATGTCTAACTTATAGTCGTTGTTTTGCGCAATGGGATTATAGAAAAATATTCTCTATCTAGTACAAGCCCCTGTAATTTGAAAACAGTTTGGTAACCTGATACTTATCCAATGGTAGCGTGGAATTCATTGATTATTGGTTATTGATACCTAGCTCAGGTATAATAACGTGTGCCGAATCATATTTCCTGTAGTATAATCTGTATAGTTTTAATAATTTATTATTATAAAGAATATTTTCTCAGGACATGATGGCGCGCCATTTGTCAATAAAAGAATTGTCCATAATAATTAGCAATGCTATTTTATAGGCTCTTAGCTAATCAATGTATTAGTATAAACAGAAAACAAAAATAAAAAAGGGAATATTAATAATACTTGTTCAAGAGTCAAATGAAGCAGAAAGGACGATATGGATAAAATGAAACACAATGCAATAATTCTACAGAAATAGCGACAATGAGAGTGAAGCATTCCGAAGGAAGATATTAGAAAAAAGATGCAAAATACAAGGAAATCTATCAGGATCGACAGGCAAATTTTACCGGTTGGATAAGGAAATGAAATACTTAGAGCAATGGTAGAAATGATAAGAACAAGGCTGAATAGTTATTGTGAACTAACACAGAACAGGACCTTTGGCAGAAATTATAGCGATCCCTACGACTTACTCAGCTACACCTGGCAGTAGAGAGGGATGTCTAGCGTTGTATGTTTCTGTTACATATTATCAACTCGCATGAAACGAACATACCCTACCGTGCGTAAAGAAGTTTCACTTCAAAAACGAAAAAGAAGTGGAAGCATGTAATAAAAGGAAATTCTCGACAAAAAAAAACTGGAAGGCAGCGAAGCGAATAAGTAGTTGGTAAAAGGCAAAGCCACGTGTAGGTACTCAACTTCATTCGTTCGAAAGTTACAGAACTTCAAAATGGAAAGTTAGAAATAAAAAATAATTATTAAGCAGGTATAAATATTAAATTCTAATCTAAAAAGTAACCAATAAGTAGCCGTATGCTGAAAACCTCTCGTATTTTCTTGTCGTTTATAGAATGAAGTGGCACAATTTGAAGCACCCTTTCCCGATTTGTCCGCCTGTTATTTGATCCTATTTTGCCACATTTCAACTACCTTGTAGCAATGATATGTCTCCATAATGACCCTGTTCAGGATTTTCCCGCATATTTTTGCATCGAAAAGTTATCAAAAAAATGTACCTAAATAAGTACAATATTTTTTTTATTATTCGTCAGAATTATATGCATTTATTTTAAGACGGAATTTTTCTCTGGGGCCGTATTTGGAAAAATCAAGTTGATGATGGGGGCTCAAATATAGGTAAACGACAACAAGAAAAACAAGACGAAGAGGCCAGACGACAAAAAGAAAAACAAGAAGAAGAAACTAGACGATAACAAGAAAAACAAGACGAAGAGGCTAGGCGACAAAAAAAGACGAAATATCGGATTTCAAATTTAATGACATAATTTCGTAGAAGCGAAAAAGGGGCAAGGATAGAGCGTCATTATTTCTTTCAGTTTGGGTGAAGTGACGGCGACTTTAATATACATATAGAGTAACATGGTAGATATGTATGTAAGAAAACGCTAGACTTTCGGCAATAAAAATAGTGTATTTCAAATTCACAAAAATATCAGGGCGACGATGCGTTCAACAAGCTGAACAAAATGCAAGTCCCCGACGAAAATCTCTAAAACTATCGACTACCTAGCCTAAAACCTAACTGTTTTTGAAGGACCCTTTCAACGTTGCCGAAGTAACGATGGGTCGGGTCATAAACATTGAATCATACAACCTAAATAATAAAACCAAGAGATCAACTATGGTTTTGAACAAATCCTTTTTGCGCCGCTGGTTACGTCTCTATTTTTGGGGTATCAGATTCTCGCATGTAGATATATGAAAATTAAATTACAAAATCATCGGCAATTTCATATTTACATGGTAAAAGGCTTTGTTGGAGGCAATGAGAAAATATTTCTACAAAGTGGAACTAAAAAATGTTCACCTATGCCTATACGTCTTATTCATTTACATTCACCATACCTTTGCTATTTTCGTGTGTCGAAGGTGAGCATTTTTCAGTGCCTTTTTGTAGTCATTTTTCAAAATTTTCTTCAAAAAAGCCTAACAAATATGGGATTGCCGATTTCGTTAATTATCTATCGAAAAATGCTATACTTGGATACAGTGATGGTGAAAACAGTTGGAATAAATTCATTTGAAAAAATTGGGTACTTATTATTCAGGTGAAAGCTCGTACACCACGTTCTTTTTCTATTTTTAGCTGCACACTTTCTTAACTAATTTCCACGTACATGGGGTCTAACAAAAAGATATCAATTTAAGATTTCAAGTTTGCTGTCACTTGACCAAAACTGAAGCGAAAGTTGAAAAATTGGATCAATCATGGAGAAGCCGAGAAGCGACACAAAAAGTTATCCGAATCCCCAAAATTTCAATTATATTGGATGGGTAAAGCCAAGGATGATACACACTACTACTACTACAGGATGGCTTATCCTCATAAGGCCTGAACAAATCCCCTCCTACCCCCCTATACCAAACAACCAGTTGTGACGTAAGCAGCATGGCGTTTCTCGCCTTGACGTAGACTCTTTAAACAGCTGACGCCTTAGTTATGACGTCGGCAATGGTTGAAAACAGTTGAAAACCAATATGGCGGCGATTACCAAAAACGAGGTCGATAAGCACTCCTTAGAGTGTGTATTAGCCTTGGGGTAAAGCCTCGTGTGAACGTGTATAGGTATTTTTATTTCATGTTACTAGAAAATTACGTTGCTCTTTTTACATTTTTAAGCATACTCCATCAAAATTGTTTCAATATTCCAAATCAATTTGTAGTTTTAAATATTTTCCGGGAGATGAAAAAATAAGGAATGATGATGATGATGGACCTAAATTATTGAAAGCAAAAAAAGAAGTTGAGACCAAAATCGCCTATTTTATTTTATTTTATTTTCCTTTTTTTGTTTTTTTTTTGTGCTTAGATTCACTTTTTGAAAAAATTAAGTAGATAACCGTGATGGGCGTGATGTTATACATTAATAAATTAGTTTTCATGCCACCATGACCGTTTTTGGTGATTTTTCAGTCAAGCGCTCGTTCATTTTCCAATTTCCAATGGCCCCGTGGCAAGCACACTTGTGACGTAATATTGAGCCAAGGATACATAATTATAAGAGAAAAGGATAGTCCACTTCCATAAAAGCAAAATGGTATATGGCATGGATTTTCCAAAACATCATGTTATCGAAGAAGGTACCGAGGCAAGTATAATACACACTACTAAGGATTGCTTATCGACCTCGTTTTTGGTAATCGAGGCCATATTGGTTTATCACCATTTTCCACTTCATCAATTAAGTCCTCAGCTGTTTGCGCCTGCGCCCTGCGGTCCTTAAAAAAGAGTTGTTTTAGAATGTTAATTAAAGTAGTGAAACCAAGTATGCATAAGGCAAAAAAGCCCGATGAATCATGACCTGTGGTGCAAACAGCCTACGTCAAGGCAAGAAACGACATGCTGCCTGCGTCACAACTGGTGATTTGGCGTGGTGGGGGGTTTCAGATTTCTTCTACACAGCCCTTATGAGGATAGGCTACCCTGGTAGTAGTAGTGTGTTTTATTCTTGGTACCTACCGAGGTACCTAATTCCTTGGCTATTCTATGACTGGGTGCTCATATTATCTTCCCTAAATTTTTTTATTTTAAAGATGGATGTTGTTACAGTTTCAAAAGATATCAGTTTTTTATCCATCACAAACATACTATTTCGCCAATCTTGATGATAGGTACTTGACAGGTTTGTTCATAGGCGCAGGAACCTACTTTACATTCCACAATTTGTCATTAGGTTATCAAAAGGTCTGTTTCTGCAGAAATCACAAACCAGTCAGCGCGAATTTCATTGGTTGAAACTAGTTTGACTGGTTTGTGATTTCTGCAGAAACAGACCTATTAGCTCTGTTCCAACCGACATGAGAACCGTTCTAGAACAGTAATTTCCAGTTGCCCGCCTATTTTTCAATGAGTTGAACGTTTAGCCGAATTGACAAAAATGAATTGATCGACTGGAAATTACCGCTCTAGAACGGTTCCCATGCCGGTTGGAACAGAGCTTATTAATTAATAAAAATTGTTTGATTGACTAGTTCTCATGGAGCGGAATATCGCGTTGTAGATGCGGAATTTTTGAAAATTTGTTCCGCAGCTGGTAAATGTCAACTTTTTGCGATGTCGCTATTTTTAACTTTTGCCGAAGACATTTTTGCGCGAGTTTTTACCGTCTTTCACTTTTTACTGTCCCTTGTGAGAAGTATGGTAAGACATTTGATAAAAATCACTAAAATATAATGTGAAATACCCTAAATATAACTAGAAATCCGCTTCCGGAATCTCGCTTCATGTGAACCGGAAAAAATTACTTCTTCAATGGAAAGCGATATTCCGCACCCGCAACGTGATTTTCCGCTCCATGAGAACTAGGCTTTAGGTTTTGTTAATTCAATGACGTCACTTTTTCAAATGACAGATTTAAGAAGCTGGATTATCCTTCTGTATAACATCCTTGCCGCAGCATCGAATTTCCGCTGTCAAATATTTTCATGGAGGTTCTTTGGGCTGAGTTCGATTTTACACCCGGTAAACTCCGAGTGCGGTCGAAACGATAAGATCCTCTTCGTTTCAGCTCTCAGAGTGTTCTCTTCTCTTTTGCGTTCGGGTTACAATCTAGCACTTACCCTGAGCGGTATTTTGGTCTGAGTTCTCCGAGCTTGAATTTACCGTTCGTTTAATTTAAAAAGTGTAATCGGTGCAGGCTCATTCGCGTCCGTTTATTAAAATATCGGGCACTCTGAAACAGCGTTCAACTGCTC